GAATTGGGGCTTACCTTGCATTTCGTTCACCACTTGATGCACTCACATACAGTCCGGCAAATTTACACGTGAGATGAACATTGGAATTTTGCAGCTTTGGATTCAACTTCACACTTTTCTTCTTTTGGAAGCATTCTATCGACGTACTTCCTTTTGTACTGAATATCTATCGTGTTTGGTTCTGAAATATTTCAATAAAAACCTTCACTTCATCCCAATCTTGGAATTTACGACCGATGAGCTCCTTCAAATTTATTTCTTCTTCCTGACCCATTTTCGAAAATTAAACTGACATAGATAACTTAATAGTGACTCACTAATACGAAATCACTAATTGAGAGTTGGATTAAACGGTTAAATAAGGGATAAGACAGTTATCACCTGCAGCTCTACTACACTATTATTTTTGCTTTTGAGTTATCGAGAAAATAAAAACATTGACAGTAACGGATTATAATTCGAGAAAGAACGTTTTTTTTTACAGATTATTATTGTTGATGAAAATTCGAAGTATTAACTATGGTTTATTAATGAAAACGTTCAATGTAAATATTTCGATCATAACCATGTTTTCATATAAAACTAGCAATGATTAGGGTCCCTAGGCACTCCGCCATTATTCCCTAGATTTCAGCGGATAATTCAAATTAACTAGTGTGATGCTCCCTGGTGCCGACTATTCAAAGCAGTTTGAGGAATAGAGAAAAATGAAAAAAATAAAAATATGAATAGCAATAATATTCTGTTTTGAATGATTTTCATTGAATATCGATTAAAGAAGGAAAACACTTGTACCAATGCCATATTCTCGATCCATACTCATTTATTTTATATGTAATTGGGCCTAGATACCCAATTACATTTAAAACAAATGAACGAGAGATTCAACAATTGAACATAATTGTTAAAAGTTTGATTGGAATTTTTGATCCGCTCATCGTTTCAATTTGATGTTCATTTCTTCATCCATTCCAATACGATTGGATTGACAATTTTCATCATTTAGTGTCATTCAATTCTTTCCTCACAAATAGTTGAGAATTTACAATCAAGACATATATAAATTAGTGGTATTGACAGGTATCGTGACTTGACTCAAATTACTATGAAGGAAAAGCATTCACAATTTGGAGAGGAGAAAATTGTATTGGATTCGAAGGCACCAGAACACCATAGGAAATGTCAAAGGTTTGGAAAGAAAAATGGAAAGATGGAGAAAAGAAAAAAAAATTCTCCTGCCGGGTATTAATGGTATTGTTATTTCTTCGATCTAAATGAATCATGACAATTAACATGATTTTGGGTGACATATTGTCTTTATTTTTCATTTCTGCATGTCATCATTAAAAAGGAGGAAGAGCAACTTATGAATTTTTGGTTGATGAAGAAACAGATAGAAGATGGAGTGTTGTATGTTTGTAGAAATAATTTTCCTACGCACATTAAAATGGAAACACTAACTTTCTATTTTATACCCTGGCAAATTTGGCATAACCAGTTTCCTTCTGGTTTCTTAACAATGTTCAGACAGGCGTAATGGAACAGACGCAGACATCCAACGCAAATCATTGACCACCTTCCTTTCACTTCCTGCCATTCCAAATTACAAAGCGAACAATTGTAAACAGTCTTCTTTTTGTTACGTAGGATCTTGAGCAAATGTGAGAATGCATCAGCAGTGAAATATTCCTTGATCATCTTCATATGTATCTCTTTCGAATCAACGAAACCATAATGAAGTGTTTCAGGGATGAGGTATGCCACCTGTTCAATTGTTATCAAAATGTTCAAGGAAATATCTTAGCTTTTATCCACCAGAGACACTAACCACCTTTTCTTTTCCTCTTGTGTTTCATTGACGAAGAGAGTTTCTTCTCCAATATTCTCATCTTGCTCTTCCTGTGAAAAAAAAAAATAATGGTGATAACTGTAAAATACCCAGACTTTTGGAACCCCAAGAATTTCAAGATCAAGTTAAACACAAACATACTAACTTTTCTGCAGATTCATTGGGAGGTGAAGACTTTCCTATTTTTCTGGAGGGGTCCATCAGAATGACTCTCTGCTGAGTGATGTTTCTTCCTGTTCTCCATGACATTCGACTGTGGAGGAACGATCATTGATACTTCTGCCCCTTATCCGCCGGCTGTCTCTGAATCAATTCCTGATGTCTCAACTGAAGGTGAAATTGGTGTGTCCTCTTGATGGTCATTCACTCCTGAATTCGAGGGTCCTGCTGCGTCATGATCACTCGATGATTGCATCGCTGGATTCGTAGGATACCATTTTGCTCCATGCTATCCTACAATTGGATGAAAAATTGATGATTCAATCAATATCTTTCTTTAATCATATGGACTGAAATTTGGCTAATTTCCTGATTTTTATTCCACAATTCAATAATTTGAAATATAAATTTTAATTTGCATAAGAACATCGAACCCACCTGGAATTTAGCATGTCCATGCGCTTGGCAGTAATCCACTGGATACAAATACTTCCCATCGTCACTTGTTCTCATCTTGATGAAGGCTTTGCAGCATGTCTTGATAGACCTATTGGAAAACAAACATTTCTTATATAACCTAGATAAGGATTGTGAAGAAAAGTGCTAAATAAAAGATGATTGATGGAACTCACTTGCGTTTCTTCTTATTAGGATCTCCATCATTCGCTGGAGGTTGACCAGCTTGTTCGCACTTCCAGGTTATTGAATAATAATGCACTGAATCATACAAAACTTTCGTACTATCTGTTCTGCCACTTTCGACCGAACGACTGTGGGTTACGGAAAATTTATAACCAGTATATAATTGATATTGGCGCGTGAAATCTTCCCAATCAACTTTACTGTAAATTTTGAGTGTTGCCAAGTCAATTTTTATTTTATCGTCAAATCTACTGTTCCTCGCCGCCATCTGTAAATTAACCAACAATTTTCAAGACCACATTTTTTACCAATCCATTCACCCACTAATTAATGATCAAATAATCATTGAATAACACTATAATTGATTATTTACCATTTGTGTTAATGGATTTTCTAATGGAGACAAACAAACATGAGATTTTTTATAACAATATGTCAACAGATGTGGTGATGAAATCTAGACAAAGAGGAGATCATGCGACCGTTTGTCTTCTGCGTTATAAGTCAATTGGTTTTTTTTTTGTACGTTTGGTATGAAGAGTGGAGACTTGATGCGCGAGTACAAGATCAAGACGCTCTCTGGTGGTTAATCAGCATATTCAACTTATTTCAGGGAGCCGCAGTAAAGACGACAAAATATGAATAGACTAAAAAACAAATATTTCAGCTAGAAATGAAATGAGTTTTTCTTGGAGTCATCATTAATAATTCATTGTCAATGAGAATGATTACTTGGGGAAATTCTACAATTATTTTCTAGTTTAGTATTATCCGCAACATGATACATAGTACCTCTACTTCAGTATGATTGTGGTTAACAAATCAATCATTAAAAGTTTAAAAATCATTGCGAAAATTGTTATTTTGTAGGTGTTGAAGTTGTTTATGATGATGATAATCATTAAAAAATTACTTTTGAAGACCTAGTTTTACTTTATTTTCATATGCTTATTGTCATTCTCCTCAGTTTTTTCATATATTTCATTCAAAAAAATACCCTCGAGTGGATTTATTCGTTTATAAGTGTTTTGAAGAAATTCAATCCACCAAATTACTAAATGCCAAATAAACTGCATGGACGGAGAGAAAAAAGGGCGAGCTAGTCTTTCTCAACTCGAGATTTATGTGTAACATCTTCACGCGTTATGAATTCGTGCCGGACCTATACTAAATGGATTCACTCTCAGCGATCTATTAACTGATATCCACTGAATGATATTAATTATTTTCGTTTATTCTGATTTTTATCGGCGTATTCATTTCAATATAACACAGAAGTCATCCACTGCCACTGAAATGTGGCGGCTCGGCCTCAGTCAGTTCCCAACGTTATCGACGGAGCCTACCACCAGCGCAAGCAAATACTCTCCCTCGGACAGACTGACGAGATCAGTCGGAGAATCTCGAACACTCCCGATTATCATCATCATCATTATTAAAAACTTGACCACACAAATCACCACAGCTGTGGCTAGAGATGCGAAATGACCGTCATTTTTAAGATCGCGTCATATGACCAAAAAATGACGGTCATGTGACGTCATAAATTTTCCAATTACAAATGACGGTCACAAATTATTTATAGGCAAATGATTGTCAAACCATCTATACGCCTATTGTAAACGGCTCGACGCGCCGGCTAGCGGTGAGAAAGTACAAATCTGAGATCTAAACATAACCAATAAATCGAATAAAATTATCTACACAAATCTAATTGGTTTATGTGTTGACGCATTGTTTATTAGCCAAATAATGGATGGAATAGAGAGTTCGAAGAGAATATGTTGTGTTATTGGGTGTAATAACAGTGAATCGAGGAATCCAGAGTTGAGTTTTCACCGATTTCCGGGGAAAAAGTGGGAAACAGAAAGGAAGAAGAAATGGGTTACAGTCGTTAATCGGAGGTACGTAAACTCCTGACTTATTAATATGATGGATGTAGCTTCTTAATACTCCAATTAGTGCGTCAGTTGTATCTTATTTGTTTTTTTTAAAGATATTCATCATTTAGGTATTTCATTCTCATTCGTATGATTCTAAACGTCAAAATCATTCGACAGGAATCAGGATGGCGAACTTTGGATTCCCGGGCCAGAGTCACGAATTTGCAGTGAGCACTTCGAAGGGGGGGAAATATCGAATAACATGCATGAGTTAGCGTATATTCCCACTGTTTTTCCTGGAGTCCATAACCCGAAACCACCCAAAACTCTGAGGGCANTCTTATTTGTTTTTTTTAAAGATATTCATCATTTAGGTATTTTATTCTCATTCGTATGATTCTAAATGTCAAAATCATTCGACAGGAATCAGGATGGCGAACTTTGGATTCCCGGGTCAGAGTCACGAATTTGCTGTGAGCACTTCGAAGGGGGGGAAATATCGAATAACATGCATGAGTTAGCGTATATTCCCACTGTTTTTCCTGGAGTCCATAACCCGAAACCACCCAAAACTCTGAGGGCAGTGAAATTAGCAGAACGAAATCTTATGGGTGGAGGATCCAGCTCGCCTCATCATTTGGAATATCGTGAAGGTAAACATTGCTTTATGTAAATAACAAAAGTTGTTAATAGAGCTCAGTGATTTGTTATTGGACATTGAACGACGATTATGTTTTACAGAGGATATAGACGTGCGTCTCCAACAATTGGAAATGAAAACCGTGTCTATCCAAACGGAACCATTCGCTGAAATAGAGACCACCACACCGAGTTTTATGTACTGTGCTCGCGAGCAACAAGACGTTTCTATTCAGACTGAAATACATACTGTTCCGCCTTCACAGACGAAAATTATTGTTGTGGATCAACCTGTGAAGGAAACTCAAGATATGAGTTGCGGTCCTGATGAAGTATACAATCCAGGATTCACTGGATTTCCAGACATTGAAACAGATACATCTATGCGTCAACTAGCCGGTGTTACTCGTACATTCTTTCTTATGTTATTGAAATCCATTGACAAACAGAGAGTCGATGATGACAATCCCACTGTTTACCGAAAACTCGGGAAAGAAAATTGATTGTTATTGTTTTTGATGAAGGTGAAATTGGGGATCACTTTCTGTGCATTAGGGTGTTTGTTTCATGTACATGCTACTACCGCATCTCGAACTTTTTATTCACTATTAGGGATTTTAACAGCCGCTACTAAATCTTGGATTTTTTGGCCATCAAAAGCTAGTGTAAAGAAGAATCTTCCAAAATCATTTCACAAATATCATAACTGCCGATGCATAATCGATTGTACAGAAATACCAGTCGATACTCCACCTACGCTTGAACAACGAGTGCTACTGTACTCCAACTATAAAGGAAAATTTACGGTAAAATTTTTAATTGTTATTTCTCCCAACGGATTGATTGTAAAAGTGTCTGAAGCTTACGGAGGCAGAACAACTGATTCTTTCATTACCAATGATTCTGGATTTTTGGAATTGCTCGAGTCGGGGGATGAGGTTTTAGCTGATAAAGGTTTCCCACAAATTCGTTCAGAATTATTGAAACGCGATGCTATCTTGACAATTCCTCCATTTGCATTTAATCCTCAATTTACGGACGATGAGGTTGAGGAGGGATACAACATAGCTTCGGTACGAATCCATGTAGAACGGAGTATTCAACGTATCAAGCTTTTTCACATATTAGATCATATTCCCATCGATTTATTACCTTACATTAATTCCATAATGCATGTGTGTTGTAGTATGGCAAATAGTTTGCCCCCATTAATTAGTGATTCATGAAATTATAATGGAAGTGATTTTCATGGAATAAAAATGATTACAAAATGAAATTATTTCACCATTGTCTTTATTTATGCATTCTATAAACCTAATAAATACAACTAGCATTTCTACCAATACCAAAAGTGCCATTCAAAAAATATTGATGATAGTTGTGATGATGGATGAACGTAAGACAACACTGATACATTCAAGGGGGGCGGGGGGTAAACTCCATGTTGAAGACAGGCAGACTCATACAAACAGAATTACTTGAAAAGAGGGAGGAAGTGGTGAAAATAAAAACTTTCCATTTTTGGAATATATTCACTTAAAAATCGATCATTTCTACTTACACTGAAACGTACAGAATCGCATTCACTGTACACAAAGAAGTGACATCTCTCCAACCCTGTAACATACATAGCGAATTGAATTTGCGTATAATAAACATGAGATTCCTTCAGTGTAACTTCACCGACATTATCAATCAAAAGATAAGGAACTTTAGATGTTTTCCCTTCTCTGTCAATGATATTTGATTTTTCACACGTCTGGGGACATTTTATTTCTAGGAGCGCCTGATCATCAATGACGATTCCATCAGGACTTGCTGCGAAATACGGTTGATCGATTTTTATTACAAGACCCACTGTACACACATTTAAACCTGTCTGTGAGATAAAAGCTTGACGAGCTTCTGATTCCATTCTTATGCCATACTCCATAGCTTTTGTCATTCTCCCCTGAAATTTTTGATTTTTAAATTGTTTGGCACGACTCTCGAAATGGTCTTTTCTAGTTTTAATGCGGTGGGCTCGTGATGATGAAGTTATCCTGTTGTATCGTTCGGAATGCCATTGGGAACAGGATGATTGACTCTGGGATTCTGTGATGATTCTACTCCAATCGTCTTTTGTAATTTTCACTGCCTCATAAGGTGTTTGATACTCTACAGGACAGGAAATTTTTTGGAGTTTAATTTTTCCCTCATCGCTTTCAACGGATTCATAACAGGAATAAGTGTGATCGAATTGATTTCTGTAAAGAATTTCACATAAGTCAAGCAATTCTCGTTTTTCTTTTTCTTTTTCCTCGGCTTCGTCAGCATTCGATTCTTCAAGATTTTTTTCTGTATTTAAATATTTGATAAAAGTACTATTGATCGAATAATATTCTTGTGGTACATTCTTCACTTTGTCAAAACTAAAATTCTCATCTAATGCAGGGATTTTTTGCTGGAAAAGGTCACCAATTTTACAGCCTTTCTTGTATTTGTCTCGTTGTGCTTCACTGGGTTGATTCCAAATAAGAGGAAAATCAGTTTTAGAGGTAGTGCTTTCCTCGTTGATAAAAATACTCACAGCTGCAACATGCTTGCATCCTTGACGTGACGTCCCCGCAAGACACGTGCAGTTGGTCTTGAGAATCGAACGACGATCGTTTAACTAATGGAACCTTCATTTTTTAGTTTCAGTTCAATTACTAGCCCTATTTAATGATGCTTACCTGCAGTGTTACCTGATAATCAGGCTTATTAATTTTCACTTGCGACATAACGTTACCGTAAACTGTACGTCTTTTTCCATCGATTTCCTCCTTGACATCGCGAACATGGTGACTCTGAAAAAGCCTCTCACCTGAATTGAATTTGAGGAAAACAATTATTGAAAACTAATGGTTCATTTGACAATTCATTCTCTTAATTAAAAATAGAAATTTACAGTGGAAATATGATTAGAGATTTTTTGTATTCAACAAAGAGGTTATGACACAACTTACCTTTCAATAAAGTAGATTTGCGAAAAAAATCAAGCGCAATGCTCTGGAAACCACAAGAAATGGTCACAGTAACCATCTCTGTAATTAATAATGAATTATGCTTCGCTTTGAAAATTAATCATGAATCAGAAATAAAAAACAAAAAACAGCTGTTTACTCAACAATGCACTTTTTCTCCACTAGAGGCGCGCGCAACGCAATATCCACCATTAGCAATACCCCCATATAGTTGCAAAATGACGGTCACAAATATTTACTGATTTGTGACGGTCATAGAAAAAAAAAATTCCTCGATATAGATGGGAAATGACCGTCATATTGTTGTTTCGAAATGCGCATTCGGTTGATGCGAAAAAAAAGTACATAAAAATTGACAAAAAAACAGAAATTTCCTCTACATAGATGGCAAATGACCGTCATATTTTTTGGATTGATTGTGACCGTTACTAGTAAAATATTTGTGACCATGATCATATGACTGTCGCATGTCCATCGAGCCCTGGACATGCGACGGTCATATGACGGGTCACATGACACCTTCGCATCTCTAGCTATGGCATTCTACTTTTTGTATTCCAAATATTAGTATTCATTGTTTGACTGAATAGATATAGTTTATTATAAATTGATGTCAGTCTAAACTACTTGTGTGAATCCTACAAATCTCCACGGAAACTGTCCCTCCACGCGTCGGGTGGGCCTCAGTCAATAAACGCCATCTCTTGATGGCGCAACGAACTCAGTCCTGATTACGCATACGGACACACACTCGTACTGAGGATATTTGCACGGAATCACTCCCAGCCAGAATTTTAGTGGCCTACCGAGCGTAAAGATGTTACATATAGAAAATTCGTGGATCTTCGTAGGTAAATTTGCTGAAAAATTCAAGAATCGAAGCGCAAATTGTAAGCACCGGGATATTACTCTGACATCACTAGAAAGTTCCCCGTTGTCATAAAGAAAACTTGATTATCGGCAAACGCAAAATTATATGACAGCCGAAAAATTTTTACTTGCCCTATTTTCTTTTTATTAGTCATGGATATTTCTGTTTAGTATTATTTGAATTGATCTAGTTTAATGAAGGAGTCTGTAATTAAAGTAAACGTCTGATTCCGATGGTTGTTTTTTATCGCATTCATTTTACGATTACATCGAGTGAATTATTCAAATTATTTTACTCTAAATAGTCATTACACAGTATTATCACTAATTTCCAACGATTTTCATTACATCACAATTCATTTGATATGATGAATTAAATTCTCATTCTAAATGAAAACAATAATCACTGATTACATCAAATAAGTCTCCAGAATCCATGAAAACGTTGTCGAATGTCGAGGTCAAATGTTGACGCGTAAGTCCCGAACAGCTGATTGGCTAGCCGAACATGAACGACGTCGGGCGGACAAGTACGTGGATAGAACGAATAGCAAACATTCTAGTGCTGGGGCACTCTAAAAATTCCCTGACAGCACAATCAACTTTCATTGATTTCCAAGATTATTTTGAAAGGTTCAAAACTAATAAGGAAATTTCCCGTGCGCCTCTAGAATTTCCCTTTTTGCTTCTGAATGGAAACTTTGTGGATACCATATTTCATGATTTTCCAATTTTGCCTAAAAATCATGTAGAATGTGATGAAACGTGGAGATATGATGTTTTTACGAAATGTCGCTCTGTGTGTGCGGATATGTGTGTGTATGTGCACTTCAAATTTAATGAATTCGCACAAATAAAGGAGTAAAATGATGGATAACAATCTATTATTTTCAACCATAATTGGTCTTATTGGGATACACTTCTGGGCACCAGATGAGCCCGGTCGGTCAAGTAGTTTTTGAGATATGACCACATCTTTGAAATTAGTTTTTTGCAAATATCTCGAGAACTACTTAACCGAGTTCAATTCGACTTGCGAAAGAAATATTTGGCACAAAAATACCTATCTAATGGGGAAAAAAACGTATATACTCCCAGGCTGACTTAGGCAGTTACCGTCGTTTCCCAATTTTTTGTTGAACTCGTTGTACGCACAATAACTTGAAAAACTAGGGGTGCGGCTGGTCTACGCAATATTGTTGGTCGCTCGCAAGCTCGCTCCCAAATTGGGGTGCGTTAAAATGGGAGCAAGCCATTGAGGCTCACAACAAAAACTTCCCGGTTTTCAAACCACAATATATACCATAATTTTTTTTTTTTCAAATTTAGTCTTCGTTTTTCATGTTTTTTTGGAAAAACTAAAAAACTACTCGATCGATTCCAGCCAAAATCTAATCCCCTCTAAGTTAGCTGAAGACCCATCGATTGAAAAAATAAAAAAGCAAATTGGATTATCCGTTCACGAGAAATCGTTGACGTAAATTTTGACCACATACATACCTAGTAAAACACACACACACAGACAGACATTTTGTTAAAAATAGTCTAGGAACATTAGAAAGACCTTGAAACGTGGAGATATGGTGAAAAATCTATTTTCGATTTTCGGGGTGATTACAATAACTTCCCTATCCCGGGAGGTTAATAATTGTGATAGAGACTTTGACCTCGCATTCAAATTGTAGCACTCATGATACCATAGGTCGGTATTGTGGCTGGGCGCAATCGGTTGGATAGTTCCGGAGATATTCATTTTCTTCGTTAAAAGTGTTTGATTGAATATCCCAAAAACTATCTCACCGATTTCAATTTTTATTTTTCAAAATACTCGTGACGGTGTCTTCTATTTGATTTAATCAAAATATACATACCACCCTCCAATACAAAGTTATCGAGATATTGCGATTTTTCTATTTTCTTTGCTGGAAATTTGCTTTTGTGGAGTCTAATGCGGCGAAAAGTTGAAGAAAGCATTTGAAACTTTGGCCACTATTTATAAATGTGAAGTTAGACTCCCATGAACGATTTCAGCTTCATCGGTCCATTAGTTCTTGAAATACAATGATTTGTAGGAAATAACCAAAATTGAATTTTTATAAATTCCATTCGGAAGCTCACTACCAATGGAATTGGTAGAAACGAAAGGAAAAATTAACCAGTTGAAACATTTACTGAATACATTCAACCAGCTGCATGCAACCAGTCGCATGCTACAGCGGCCGGCTTGTTTTTTCATTTAATCACTCGAGATGAGACATTTTGCGCCTCGAATTAGTGCTAGGCACTAGAATTTTTCCCCAATTTGTCTCTCCGTGCAGTGAA